AGGCTATATATCATCACGCTAAGACCAATAGGAGCGGAGCACCAATGAAGAATGTTTCAAAAACGGAGAAAATTTATTACTATTGAGAGACGCAGACGCGGGTTAGCTAGTTGATAATACAATACGAACAAAAGTTTGTCCCTCCTACCATTCTTACGCCACTTTTTCAGTAGTTATCGTAACTAATTTTATAAATGCAATTATGAGTTTATGTACTACGCCTTTACAAACTACCAGAGGTACAGAAATAGATATAAGGTAGCTTTCTATCCGAACAAATATTACTTTTACATGGAAAAAAATATTTAGGCCGCGTCTACTTTTGCTTGTGACGACTAATATGGTGAAAATCCAGTAATATTAACCTAAACACCGAGATCTTGACCTACTGATCAATTCAACAAATCCAAGACAATTCAGGCCATCTAATATCTGATTCTATCTTCAAATTGTTGAATAAATTATATAAAAAATTATATCGCAATTCATGTGACACAATCACAAATATAAAAATTAAATTTTGCAGGTGTTTAAACGAATAGTAAAGCGTAAACAATAATTAAATCAAAACCAGTTCTCAAGACATTCTTAGACATTACAAAACTCGTTTTCGAACATTTAAAATTTAATGTTACTGGCAACAAAAAAGTAAAAAGAATAATATAGGACGTTCTACTACTAGAAAACCAAAGACAAAAGGCTATGATGATAGCGGTAATAGAAAGCTTTTAACTCAAATACGACAGGCAGAATACAAAGCTAATAATCGTACGTAATTTTCAAGCATACAGGGATGGGCTTCTTCTATTCATTTGTGTCATTTACATAAAGAGATGGTATTTAAAAAAAAAACGAAATCGACGAGAACCTCTTTGTGTATTTGAATTTTAGTAATTTTAGTAAAAATTTATAATAAGTGACTTTCTTTAACAAGTATATTTTTTTATTATTTATATCAGCCGCAGAACCGACAACCGTTCCGGAAAACGAGTTCTTGAGTGGAAACCAAGTCTCGGCAAACGTAGTGTAGGACGCGGCTTAGCTTTCCATTGACTTCCGTCGATTTCGGGGTTGATATATTTTTAACAGAAAGGTTACATTATTATAAGCACACAAGCAAAGTTTCAACATGCAGAGACATGTAGCTTTTGACAAAAAAAAACTCGAAAATGGGGGGGCAACTTTTCCTTTAAGGGGGGATTGTCCCCACTCCCCCCTTTTAATTCGACGGACGTCAATGGAAAGTCGTACCGTAGGAGGCCCACAGGCTAGGTGGAATGACAATTTGCGCAAGATGGCTGGGAGGAGCTGGATTGAGAAGCCCAAAATCGATCTAATTGGCGTGCAATGGTAGAGGCCTATGTCCAGCAGTGGACTGCGAGTGAATAATGATGATGATTTTTGAGTAAACGAACAGACAGTAAGTAATACAATATACATACGGCATTTGTAAGAATCAATCGTCAATCGTAAAAATATCAAACGAACGTGACATGAATTAAAACTATCTATTTAATCGGTCTAAAATATAATAATAATAATATAATATAAAATATTTAACCACATTCACACAACGCCCTCTAGTCCCAAACTAAGCAGAGCTTGTACTATGGCTACTAGACAACTGATATAAATACATATATACTTTTTTTTTGTAAATACATTCATATTATGCATAGAAACACCCAGACCAAATCAAACATTAAATGTTCATGCCCACAAATTTTTGACTTGAGCGGGAATCGAACCCGCAGCAGTCCGTTACACAAACCACTATGCCATCCGGTCGTCAAAATAATATAATAATAATATATATGTAATGTCTTATTAAAAAATAATCAAAAGAAAGTACATAATACTCTTTTGGTTAGGTTACGGTTTGTGTAGGTAGATAATTCAATTTCCAGGTTACCTAACTATGACATAAACCTGTGACTCATGGCTAAGTAAAAAGATTGGTAAAGCTTCAAGAATGAGTACTTTATTGACTAGTTAAATTTATGCAAAACTTTTCTTACGTAACTTGTAAGCCTACATTTTTACTTAACTTAGTATAAGGGCACGTCTCTTTATGATCTTTATTATTTTGTTTCAACCTGAAAGGGCAAAGTTGGATTTACCGAGGGGTAAAATACGATGCACGACTACTAGCGAATTATGTTAGGGCCCGTCTGCACAGCGATATTTAACCGCGAGGTTTATATTCGCGCGGATATAAATCGCCACCGTATCGCGTTCAATTTGCATCAAATCACAATTTTTATCCCCGAGTTTTTTCCACCTACGCGCTGGTGATACCTGGTACCATATAGATCCCATGTGTCACAGAATTTTGCGAAAAAGCGCGCGGGAAATATCACTGCGGACGGGCTGTTAGCGTTAGGGGATAGAATGGAATTCTGCCCGAATCGAAGGCAAGTTGTCATCAATCACTTGTTTGGCTTCATTTCGATCTTGCAGCAAACGGCAACAATAGTTTTTATTGCTCCTGTTGATATAAGTTACAATATTGAGTTGGAAATCCGCGATCCAATCGTAATTTTACGTCAAATTAAATGAATTATTAATTAAGCTGTGTATACAAGCAAACGTGACACACTACTGTTTAAGACACACCCTATATGACATCATATTATATTCATCACTAATATCTGAGACTGCAGAACTACCAAGTACCATACATTTCAGTCTAAAAAAAATGTAAGCATATTTTATGTAGACTGAATTCAATTAGATCAACACACACAATAGCATTGTTGCTATTGTGTCTGTTTTGCCAAATATTTAGGAAATAAATCAGATTTATTATATGCCTGTGACGATCTTCTACCACCCGTTTCCAAGTGGTTGAGAGTTATGAGAAGACAGGGCAAACAAACTCCATTTTCAATTCTCCATTGGACATATACAAAGCTTTTAATTATTTTTATACAAGTTTTGCTTTTATATATAAAAAATCTGTATACACATATGTGATTGTGTAAATGTGTTGATCAATCATTGTGTGTGTGTGTCTATCACCTGTTATTTCTTCCATTAGAGATCTGACCACTAAGTTTAGAAATACAAAACTATTTATTTTTATCTATTGTTCTACTTATAAAAGATGGTAGTTTTTTAGGTGAGTTTATCCATACTAATAATGCACTATAAAATTTAAACCAGCTCAGTTAACATATAATTATTCCTATATAACTATGACTAAAATTTCAAGATTTTTTTTAACTATTCAAACTAATTACTAGTAACAGTAGTTCTCTGTAATTAACAATTTAGTACATTTTTTTTTTTAAATATCCATTTCAAAGTTCTTGACTGATTGACTTATTTGAAGGTAATATTGATATTGTTAGGAAAAGGTTTTATGAGTTATGAGTAATTTTATAAAATATTGTAAAGAATAATATTAAACACCTTTAGGTTTTGCTTATTCTTGTGATATTATATTTTTCTCTAAAGATGTTTTTACAGTAAATATATAACTAGATATTCTAGACCAGGGATTCCTAAAGTGGTCGATATTAACCCCTTTGGGGTTGAATTTCCCAGGGGTCGACATATACGAAAACTGATTTTGGGTGTCGACGAGGTCTAAAATCGACCCCTATTAAATAACACAAGTTCTTATTAGAAACGTTCAAGATTCTGAATAACTTTGTATCTAAAATAATTACCTGCTTCACGTATTTTAACATTATTTTTATTAAAAATTATTAATTACCCTAGGTATTTATGTCTATTAATTTTGTTAAATTTTATTGAGGAAATGATGTCAAGTTAACTTAACAAACTGCAAAGTTTTTAAATTGGTAAGTATTTTGTATCAATAGGAAAAGTCATTGGGCTATATGGTTCTGCAGTATCAGTTCATTTTGAAAAAGGGGTCTCTTGCCCCTAGTATGAGAATCCCTGTTCTAGACTATACATTGCTGACTTTCTTTTCAACTATTATTAGCTTTTATTGCAGCTATAAAACTTTTCAGACTTCATTATAACTATTAATATACAGATAATGTACAAATTATCCAAAAAAGAGGTATTTGTAAAATTACTTGAAAAATAATTTATGTTAATATTTATCAAGATTATTATTACACAGATTATATTATTATATCAAGCAGTGCTTGCTTTTGAAATTCTTTTAATTAACTATAATTTTTTAACCAGATAACCTGTGGAGATAAGAATAAAAAAGTTGTAGAACTTAATATATTTTACTGCTAAAGGTATAAACATCAGAACAAATATCCATTTTAGTTTCATTGTGATAAAAAAATCTTATTAGATTACATTGTATTACAATCTAATAAGCAAAGGCACTTAAAAACACAAAACAATTTTTGAATTTAGAAGACTATAAAAAATAGCAATCTTTATTAAAATTACATGCAAATTTATACCAATACATTTATTCCATAGGTGTGGGTTTAGTTCACACTACACGGAATTTGTTAAGAAAACTCGCTTTAATTTTTTAAATAATATTGATTGAAGCCGTAATTTCATTTCATGCTATTAAAATACATGTTTCAAACATCGTAGATAAATGGTGTAAAAACGTAACTGCCCTCTTTAACAAAGGGCTGGATAATTAACACTAATCAATAGTAGGTCAGTAATCTAATGTAAACGCGATCTGCAGGTTAGATGGCGAAATTGGACCTTGTTAGCAGAGATTAGTCATCAAAAAGGAATAAGTAATCAAAATAATATACAGCCTGCAATGTTTAATTGTGTATTTAACAACCGAAAAGAATCTTCTGAGTGCAACTGACAAAACTAAAAAAATATAATAGCTCGGTCACGGCGACTTCGATAAAAAAACTACATTAGAATAGATCCCCGAAGCGGAAAATGGCGTTTTAAATTTACGGTTATATCGTTATTTTCTTCGTCGTTGTAGATGTAATTTGTATATCCGAGTGTTACTTAAACATAAAGCTAACGAAACAATTCATAGCACATGATATTCCTTTATCAATAAAATAATTATCACTTACCTTTCTAATAAATTGACAGCAATACACAGCACTAGAAAATTTACTGTTTTCAATGTTGCCACTTTAGCCAGAAAAACGGCTATGAAAATTTCATTAAGTTGCAAGCTTGTTTACGTTTAATTGTAACTAAAACAAAACTATTTATTGAAGTAAAACTTCTTTACGCACGCTTGGGGAGTAATTAGTTTTTAATGTTATATTAATACATGTAGATATATACCACTGTAGCCTACCTAACTTCAAACGTAAAAAGTTCTGCATGAAACAAATAAAAACACTAATACATCTAAGTAGTCTCAAATTTACATTTTATTTATTCATTCATTTCATCCATATAACAAAGTAGTCTAAAATCTAATGATGGAGGTTATTTGATTTTGTTATTGTATACAATTGAAAGACACAAGTCATGCAACATATGTCTTTAGCGATAGCGAAAATAGTTTGAATATTTAGACATACCCATGGTTTTAATATCCCTTACAGAATACATAAAACATTGAAAACATAAAAAAAGGAACTCTCAAAAACAATTCAAGTGGCCCAGCCGCCTCGTCAGAAGTGTAGATTTTTTTATCGTAGTGTTGGTAATTCAGACCGAATTAACTTAGTAACACTGTTTCTGGTTATGTCAAATCAAAATGTAGTTTACTGTGTGACCTGTGTGACTCTGTGGTCATGTCATAATAACTACTACTACTGCAGTGTGTACTGTGTGGCTGTGTGCTTGCCGAAATCTAACAGTTATCAAGGTTTTTATTACAAATATTTTACAGAAAATCTATATAATCGGTCCTCGTGAGAAGCTATTCGAACTAATATCTATGTGGCTGCGACTGTGACTACCGTAATTTTACTAACTATCCTGCATGATCATTGAACTCTATTTTTACTGGTTATCAACGATCCGCTTTGTTTATTCGTAAAGAAATGAGTAGTTTTGGTGTGGGGGTGTATTTTTTAACAGTGTTATGGTTCATTACTCTGATGTTATGTTGGGTATCCGTGCGTACAGGTCATAACATTGGTAAAATATCTCTGGTCGTAACTTCTTTAATGACTGTGATTTTGGTATGTTTGCCAAAAGGTGATGCGTATAATTCAGAGAGTGCCAATTTTTATGACAAATTGTATATCCCTCGTTACGCGATTCTTGCATTTTTATTATTAAGTGTGGCAGTTGGTGCTGTGTTTTGTTTTATCCATGTTTGTCTAGCGCCGATTGAAACTCGTAAAGTTAGAAGTTTTGGTACAATTAATTAAATACTTTGGTAAGTCATACGTTCGGTTGTACATATCTCACAAATTCTGTTAGATTAACTACTTCTTTTAAAAAAATACAGTACTTTTATATTAAAATAATTTAATTTAGTACACCATCTAAAAATTTATATCTTGATTAGCCCCATGTAGTTATTCAATAAAAAATAACAAATTTGATACTTAAACTTATAAATGAATATATTTTCCTTTTTCTTTTTATTGCTCACCTATTAATATTATAATAGTGACAACTATATATATATTAATTATTGCTACTTTTGAATCATGTTTATTTGATGAAATGATTGGTTTTAGTCACAGTTCAAATTTGATTGTGATTTAGTCATAGACAAACATAAACGGCATTAAAATCAACCAAAATTTTTTTTATCAAAGATTACAACCTTTTTTTTAATATTCTTGAGCTAGTGTAATTATGTAGCAGGAGAATTGTAAATAAGTCACAGTTGTGATGACATGATTTATATGTCATATGATTCATCACATGTGATTGTGATTTAGTCCATCGTGATATGATCCAGTCCTTATAATAACTCTCTAATATCTCCAAATATAGACATATGTTATTTATTTACTATATTTAGTATAAAAACCTCTTCCATTAATCAATTTAGTATGACCAAAAATTAAGCATTGCCTGTGTGCGAATTTAATTTCATTCAAGTTCAGCAACCTTTCTTGGTACCACACTGTATAGTATTACATAACAGCATGCTTCTTATCACTATCATGAGCCTATAATGCTTGCCTTCAACGCTAGTCACTATAGCGAGACATTTTATCAGGTACTATTTGTTAGTATAAGAAATAATCAGTATCATTCATAAAGCTATCTAGATAATTTACTCCATTCTTATCATAATGATATTTCTCGTTAGCTTTTGTTTGTAATAATTATTGTTTGCTGATAGGTTCTCATTATAAGATATTAAAAATATCATATTCTTTGGTTTTTATATTAGATTGTGCAATTTTTAAACATTAAATATTGCTTAAACTTATTATTTTCTTTATATGGTCTAGATGTGACACCCTATAATTGCTATTTTTGCTGAAATTAGATTTTTTGTGCAAAATGTTTAAATTGCATAGATTTTTTCTTGTCTATTGATAAAGTTATTATAAATTATGTACTAATTTAGTTAAAAGAAAGAATGTGTTATACCTCCTTTTGTTCATAATTTTTGTCTCTTGTGTAAAGTTTTTTCTGTTTGGAAACAAAATATGGGGTGTGACATTTAGACAGACAACATTTTCATTAGTAAATTATTATTATATTCCATTAAGATAATTTCTCCAATACTCTAGTTATATATTTGTATTATAATGTTCATGACCCATTAAGAATATGTAAAGACGAGGACGGACAGCCAGCTTGGTGTAACGTGGAAAAAATGTAAACAAATTCTAACAAACTAGATAATTTAGAAAACGTCACACTCTACCATCGCGCTCGGTGATCGGCGCTAGTACATTGCAGCTGTATATGTACACCGCGTCGCCATCCCGCTCTGCTGGCTGTCTGACCAACCTCTAGTAAATTTCTTGTTTTTCTTTTAAGTTGTCTAACATGTATTTTAATAGGTATACATACAGCCTGCCTCGGTGGCGCAGTGGTAGTTTATGCGACCGCTGTGCCGAGGTCTCGGGTTCAATTCCCGGGTCTCGGACCAAATGTTTGTGTGATCTCTGACTTATGTGATTTGGGTGTTTTCTGTGTATAATATATTCTATGTATTTTACAAAAAAAGCTTAGCTTTCATAGTACAAGCGCTGCTTAGTTTGAAACTAGATGGCGTTGTGTCAGATGTCCGAAAAATTATTAAAAAAAAATATAGATATCACTCAGTTGTCCTCCTCATTAGGAAACATTTTATTTCTTTCACTAACTTCATATCTATTAGTAAATTCTTACCCGTAAATTGATAATGGACTAGGATACCGCTAACTTATAAGTTTAAAATATCAATTGTTATTTATGTTTATGTTTATTATGTTTATACATAACGTAAAAAAAAAATACCTATTTCAAGCGCATATAATTTATAAGTTATGCTCGTCTAATAGGACTATATAATTTTTGATATTTTTCTTTCTTTCCAGTCAAAATGTCCAATGCAATTTGTCAAGGTTTGCGATCTCCAATCAGACGACTGGCAAGCCTTAAGAGGGCACTTCCTATATCTACATCTATTGTCCACAATGAGACTATATTAGTTAAAAATAATGACGAATTTGTAAATAAGGTATGTACGGTAACCTACAAATTTTGTAAGTATGTAATGGCCATTTATAAATATGTATCAATGCGTTCAAAACGTAATAAGTGAATGAATACATCACCGAAAACCGGTGTTAGGCAATTCATATGTTGCTTTTCACCGAACGAGGGAGGTTACTGGAGCCCAACCCTCCTCCACACTCCTGATCCTGTCACTCATCACTCCTGAGGCCCAAGTGCGAGTTTATTTCTCGTCTACTCGATCGTCACGGTGACCGCGTTCGGCGCTGCGATTGACCCGCACTGAGATCTCCACCAATCGCAACGCTCAACGCTCTGGTCAGCTACGTATTAGTTAATTCATCAGGTGACCCGTCTGCTTGTTTGCCACCCTATACCATAAATTCAATGTTTTTTTGGCTGTATTTTATGCGTTGTCGTTTGGTCATCGTGCACAGGGTTTTAGAAAACTTTCGTATAAATATTACTAATATTAAAAATAAAATTCATTCTGGTTTTCTTAACGACACGTTTTGTAAGGTCCTTTTCATAGGCAGACGCATAAACGGACTTGTAAAATATTACTTCGACTTGCGATTCGCCCCGGCTTCGCACGGGTGCAATGTAGATACTACTAATGTGGTGTCAGTGTGCAGTAATTAATTACACAATTATTATGATAGGACTATACTACAGGACAACTTGAAATGCAATATTTATAGGCCTGTCCCGATCCTGACGGCCGCTGCCATCCGCTGCCATCCGGGACGGACCTCTAATATCTTCTAAAATATTCATTTTAATGATAAACTGTAAAGAACAATTTTAATCCACATTAAATGTACAATGTGTCTAATACATTTTATTGGATAAGGAATAATAATGTATTGTTTAAAATAATTTCGTATATAACACATTATTTTTGGTCTAACTCGTAACTCGTCGGTTGAGCCAGCGTTTGCAATGGTAGCGCACAAACATGTTTTTAAAACAATTTTTTGAAACTCTCGAATTTACTCTGTCATAATATGCATGTATTAAACATATAACCTTCCTCTTGAATCACTCTCTGTTGGTGAAAACCGCATGAAAATCCGTTGCGTAGTTTAATAGATCTAAGCGTACAACACAAAAAAGCGACTTTATTTTATACTATGTAAAGATAAGACCGTGTGTACTATGTAAGTTGATTATCACACTGCACTGCGCTCCGTCGCGTATCGTACTTTAAAGTATATACGACGACGCGTGGTTAGTGTGTTGTCCTAGGCTTTTTTTCAACACAAATTAAGATCTCCGCGATGTAGTGTCAAAATCGGGAACCGCATAAGGCAACAGTAACTATTCTGATCAAAAATTGAAATGACCGCATGGATGGCGTAGCGTTTAGTGATTTAAGCGGTTACGTCGCCGCTTCCTACTGCGCTGAGTGTTGTGGGTTCGAAACCTACATTGAACAACAGTTTGTGTGATCCACAAGTTATTATTCTAAGTTTCCTTTGTGTTCGTTTCACTTATTTTATATACGATATATTCCTAATGCGGGAGTTGTCTTTTCATACAGGGAATTTTCAACAAGATTTAAAGAAAAATAAACGTTACATATCATTAGTCAGTAATAAATGTCATTGTTAGACCTTCTTTACACTTTTATGCGTGCAAATAGTTAATACTTAGATCCCTGATTTTGTTGGTGGGTTACTAATATAATATAATAATCATTCTAGCTCTAATTTTACTGTAAACAAACCATTAATGATAAATGTTTAGTAGGTACCGCTAATAAGTCACCCATCCAACTTTTTAGATCGGTTTGAAGAGGTTTTTTTTTATAATAAAAAAAAAAAGGGGGGTTTTTAGTTTTTGACTAGCCTCTTGTTCTAGTGGTTAGTGACTCTGCTAAGCCTGAAGTCGAGGGTTTGAATCCCGCCCAGGATAAATAATTGTGCAATGAGCACGATCATGACGCGTGGATGTATCGAGTTGAAATTAAGACTCGATTCCTGAACTATTTATAATATGTACCTACAAATTTGTACGGGATCCTCGGTGGGCAAGTCTGACTCGCACTTGACCGGTTTTATTTTTTCAACCTGTGTGTTATAGGGCAAACCATGATTGTGAGATTGCATGGATGGCGTAGTGGTTTAAGTGGTCACTTTGCTCCTTCCTACTGCGCTGAGTGTTGTGGGTTTGATCCTCACATGAGACAACACTTTGTGTGAGCCACAAATTGTTGTTTCCGTTGGGCCCGTTTCATGTTTATATGTAAAGTCCCCCGCGACACAGGCATTATACCTAGTGCGAGAATTGTCTTTAAAAAAAATGACTAAAGCCGCATTTATTTCAGGTAATGAACAATGATAAGCCGGTTATAATCAACTTCCATGCGGACTGGTGCGAGCCGTGCAAGATACTAACTCCTAAACTAAAAGAGTTGATCGAACCGCTGAGTAACTTGGATCTGGCGGTAGTCGATGTAGAAGATAATGCTGACTTAGTACATACGTTTGAGGTAACTACATTATGAAATTCTTTTAACCACTTTTCATTATATGGACATCTTCATATGATTAAAGCCAGGATGTCTCAGATATGTCTAATATCTATTCCTAAAGAAGGTTCCGTGAAAATATTAATTTGAATGTCATCTGGACATTAGCACATAGAGATTGTCTATGGTAGCATTTCAGGCAAGTCTCAAATATAGCATTTTTTTTAAATTTACGAATGCACGTAAACATTTAGTGTACTATAAGTATTAAATAAAATGTTAATTTTTTACGTAATATAAATTACAACAAAAGAACTAAGTAAACGTGATAACGTCTATATCAAGCTACACGAGTCCAATATAAATGTGGGTGTCAGGGTATTGATGTCTATACAATGGCAGTTCACGTTAGTGGCAAAAGAAGTAAAATAATTATGGTTGAAATTCGACCACCAAACAATTTCCATAGTCCATTCGTGTTAAGAAAATAGTGACCCATGGATCAAGCCCCAACCCCTGACCAATCAGGCTCCAAGCTTACGTATGAAACGATAATTTCTTGGAACCTGATTGTTCAGGGGGTGGGGCTTTTCTTAACGCAACTAGACCATAGTTTAGACATAGATAAAAACATGATTGGCATAAAATTACAGGTAAAAGCAGTTCCTGCTGTAATAGCAATAAAAAATGGTTTAATAGTGGACAAATTCATCGGTCTCGTCGACGCAGACATGATTACAGGCCTCATAGACCGGATGTCCGGTAAGAATAAGCAAAACACGTAAACGTAAAAGCACAGATTAACTAGATAAATATATAATCTAGAGTTGTCAGATTGTGATTGAGAGTGCGCAAAAATATTATTTTTATATTAGGCCTAATTGATTTTAGATTAGTTTTTTTTTTAAATGTATTGTGTAAATCAGTGTCTCTAAACCATTAACTGTATTTAAGTACCTACTACAGTAATTTACATGGAGAGCGCGCACGAGTCGTCATGACACGTCATTATGACAGTTTTAAAAATAAAGCAAAATGACACCATGTTTCATGTAGTATATGGAGTGTAGAGGCAAGGAGAACCATCTCATATGGGAAAAAGTTGAAAAACTGTCCAGCTGTACACTGAAAATAGAGGTCGCCGGCGTACGAAAAACTACGATATGAACATATCTGTTTTAGACGGAGTGAAGTGTGCTGAGTTCAAATATTATAATACTTTTATTGTCTGAAAGTTATTCCATGTTTATTTATATCTGTAAAACATTAACTATTTTTCGCAGTCTAGTACACAGTCTCTAATTATTATTTAAGCCAATATAAATTAATCCTTTGCTACCGCAGCGCCACCCTTATTGGAAGCGTCTTTACGGACACTTTTTATACACAGAGACGGTTCCCTTGCCCCTACCCTAGATAATATAGTAACGTGTGTATGTGTGTTCATACATATCCATAGACTGGACGAGAGTGATAAACAGTCACTGTGACAAGTCACTCGTGCGCGCTAGCTCTTAGTTACAAAGTTCAAATACCTTAGTCTTTGACAAGTCACTTCACAGGCGTTTCAATTTAACTAGATAATTACTGTTAATTTTCGCATCGAATATGTTTATAGTTTATGAAACATTGCTGGCTGTCAATAAACCTATTTAAAAGTTTTGATTTCATGTTTGGAAGACAGGATAAAGGTAAATATATTTTGTCACATCCTGTCATCTCAGTTGTAAATAAAACGTGAAAACGAACTGCTAGTAAATAATTGGTTTAGCGTGTATTTTTATTGATTAGTTTTTAAGCATAGTAACACTGATGGTTCGAGCAATAAAAAAATATTTTAAGATTGGTATAAAATTTGACTAAAAATTGTGTTGCTTCACGATCTCATGGGCCTTGTAGATGGCAGTGTAAGCGATCTGTTAAGGCGGCAAGATGGAACAGACAAAGTAATATTATCAATGAATATATTTTTATCATTTTATCGAATGATTTTATCCATTGAGGTCGTGAATAACAAAATTTACGTAGAAATTTAATGTTGTGAAGGGAATTGTTAAATAAATTAAAAGATGTATTTTGAATTGGTTATATTTATGGCCTAAATCATTTATACATTTTTAACATTATTTATATAAAAATGAATTCTAATTATTTGTTGTTGGTTAAAAATACTTCAGGAATACAAAATACAAACCTATAAGAATTAAAATTTACTATAAATACTTATCTAAAAAGATATCTTAAATTCAAATAGTTTCGAAATAAATGGCCAGAAGGCCAATTCTCGTAATAAAAGTTCGGTCACAATTCAGTTCCGATCAACTTTCGATCTCACAACTTTCAGAAAAGGTATTTTCGTAGTTAAATAATAAAGTTTTACGAAGACTATTACATTACCGATTCAATTTTCGGTCACAATATGATATAATCATATTACAGTCAACGTTGGATGCTTAATATTTTACTACGAAAATAACTTTTATAACAGTTGTGTGATCGAAAGTTGATTGGAACTAAATTAAGACCGAACTTGTATTACGAGAATTGCCCTTCTGAATTTTACTTATACGTAAAACTTAATCATTCTCGTCATTCTGACCCATTTTTGTAATTTATATACATGTTTAAAATTAAAAATGTACACCTTACCCTAGATTATATGGAAATAATAGCAAATATTTATATATTTTAAACTTTAAATCTATATTTCTAAGGTAACATGTTATTGTTCCTATGTTAGTTAATCACTGTTATATTTATTCACTATATTTTTTGATATTGGTGCTAATTCTGTTGTTCGAAAACTCTATAAACTAAAAATCACAAAAAGAACTCCTGTTAAATACTACGTTTTCAGAATACGAAACGTTGCTTGACAGGACTAAACAAATTTGTAGTGATGTTTAGTTTATTTTAGAGAGTTTTAGAACAACAAAATTAGCACCATTGTTAGGATTGGCGCATAATATTGCAGTAACTGTTACTGTAGCTGTAGAGCTAATTAATATAATGGAATACAAATGCCTTTATACTTCATACTTCATTGTTACCGGTACTGGTACAGCCATGGTAATAACGAACCGCTAAGAAGGATATGTTTAATGTTGATCTATCATGTTCAATGTTGATCTCAAGTTGTTCAATGTTGAACTGTTTTTGTTTAATGTTGATCGGTCGTCATGTTGATGAATCGCGCGCATGTCATGAATCTATTTCACGTTGTTGTTTAAGAAATTATATTATTGATTTTGGGTCGTCTAAGGTGCATATATATGAATTGTTGTATCGATATTAGCAGTTTCTTCAATATTTTGCCCCAATCTTTATCAAAAATTACTTTTAATGTAAAATTAGAAAAATAAATTACTTATTATAAAAGGTTTTATTTTTAAGTTGCTTATTTTGATGTGTAAAAATAGGCCTAGTCTTTTGCGTCTGATTTTTTTGTATTTTAAAAATATATTTTTTTTCTATGAAATCTTTTTCTTTTTACTTGACACTATCACTTGGCACTTTTCTTTCTTGTGTTCCTTTGTTAATCTGTGTGTAAGTATACACTTCTAAGGTTTACACTAAATTGTAAGCTTAGCTTCCTTATCTGAATAGAAATCTATACATATCTTGGCTTTGCAATGTGAGCCTGCCTTACCTTTAAGAAATTTCGCTTTAATTTCCTAATTTGTAATGTAATAAACGTAGAGTATTTTATTTTGTTTTTTTTTTTAATAAAAAAAGGTTAACCATAGACAGATCGCTTTTCATGAGAAACTTGTTTCCTTCGCCAAATTGCCAATTGAAATTTAAGAATATCTTTAGTAGGCAGTTTATTGTTACTCCAAAAGGCGTTTTGCACAACTCGTAGTACGTTTACAGCAATTTTACAATATTTATACTATTTTGTCTATCAGTATACCTTTGAACTGTTTACGAGACAACCCACAGTACTAGAAATATTTTTAGATTACACTTTTCAAATTTTCAAAAAAAATCTTATATATAGATTTATATTAACATTAAATTATATAATACGTATTTTTCTAAATTAAAAAAAAAACCATTTAATGCTTCTAGAACTGCCTTCTTATCACTGTCTTTGCTTTCTAGACTAAAATCGCTGTAGTTTTTTAGTTGCAACTGTGAAACTAATAAATTTATAACCACAATTAATCATAGTAGTTTGTAGGTATCTAATTACCTTAAATTAAGAGGTTTTATCTACTGTAGTTTTATAAAAATGTTAACCCTTTAGGAGCTTCAAAAGTCCATCCCCAAGTATTTGTAGTTAAGTTTAAATTTATTCATAGATATAAAACGTTGGACAGTCGATCACAGAATGCTTCCACTTTGTGTATCCTCGACCTAAAGATTAGAACTATCGATCAATCAATAGTCCACCGTAATCCACTGCTGGACATAGGCCTTTAATAAGGGAAAGGACTGTAGTGCTCAAACAAAAATCTACAGTATTGTCTCACAAGTAAATTAAAATCAAAGGAAACACGCTTTTTATTTATGAACTAGAACTCCATAAGTTGATGAAGTAAAATATAAAAATCGATTAAATTACAATAAGTCGTCTAAAATAGTCGATTTCTGTCCGTCTTATGGTTAATCGTAAAAAAAATGTTGCCAGTCAAATATATTTATCGTCTTGAGGTAGGTAATTATTTTAGTGTGTGAGACTGTCCAGAAAGCTTTGTTCACGTATACGCAAATTGTAGTAGCTTAATAAGTCGAGCTTAGATATCCTTCATACCATGATTGGGTCCATTCTTTAGAATAGAAACTGTTTTTTGCTTATATTACGGTAGTTTTTTCTTAATATTCTCTAGACCAAGCTTAATAAGAACTAGGAAATGATACAAGGGATGAAGCAAATATGGAGTTTAATATTTTTAAGTTTGTTTAGTACAAAAATACACGGTTTACAAAACTAGTGTAAAACACGTAATATGAAGTCCCAATGAGCACAAATATGTACCTATTCTTCATTAAGCAGATTTTACTGACGGAATAATAATACCGAAGGAATACACCGTAGAATATAAATACGCTTTCGCTTGGTTTAATGGTCCCGCTAATTTACGTGAAACCAGTAACTGGATCCAGTACTACTTATACGGAAGTGATACTTAAGGAGTACTCAGACCAATATTATGGTCCTCATTTCGAACAAAATACAGTTGATGATATTTTTCAACCACGTATTCTTAGTTTTAGCTGACTTAAAAAAAATTAACTTAACAATGGGCTGACTTAAAAAAAAAGCCCGACGGAAAATGTTCATTCATATTCGTTCAGAGATGTAATGACTCCAATACAATACAAACGGTACGTAATGAAGACGTGTTACCAATATGAAGTAAATTTTAGTTAAATGTTACCTGGATCCAGAAACGCGATCAGAAGTTAGTTTTAAGGACCAACAGGATTCAGTGTTTTCTACCATAATATGTCCAATATCAGTTTGGGCCGACACATTTGAATAAACAATTCCAGTTCCATGCAATAATACTATATAATGTTAAAAATACATCATACACAAAAGTTCTTATAATAGTATTATTATAGCATATGTACGTCTAAGTAGTAAACCCCAAAGCTCTTCCAATTTCTTATAAATGTACCCACGGTTCAGTATTTTGCAGTGATTGTGTATCTAGTTGTCATAGTGATACGGAATTGATATTAATTTTAAAATATACAGTGACACAATAATTTGGCGTTGTCTTTATAAAATTAAATATATTTTCTTGAATAATGTTACTGTTGTTTATTTTATTGC